AGGGTGTGGTTCGGTTCCCTACCGGTCCAGAACAATTTTTGAGAAAGGGCTCCATTCACGGCAGCCAAACGATAGTAACACTCACAATGCATGTGCTGTTCGAAAGGTGCTTATAAGCAAACTGATGACAGGCGCTTCTGGTTGTTCAAGTGAAAATACAAATCAGTGAAGTGTGTCGCTTGAGAAGAACTGATTCAGTTTTGTTTAAAATTAATTTCATTTTCAGAATTGAAGTTGGAGAAGAAATTTTGACCGCAACAAGCAGAAGTGTCATTGATGCGGGCTACACTGAGATAATGACTTGGCAGGGAATTGAGGACGATGCATGTTTGCATGATGTACAGAAAGGCACAGTGCTGGATATGAAGTAATTTTTTTGTTTTTCTTGCAAATTTGTACTTGGGTCGGGATGTGTTACTTTAACTTTTCTTTTTTTGAAGATTTCCTTTCGCTTCAGCAGATTGGAGTTACTTTTTCAACTGCATAGGTGAAAAATTTCATAAAAATTTTGAAAATTTGAGGAGTGCTCGAATGGCTGAATATGCACGACGCCACCAGATTACCTGACCGAGTCGGAGCTGATCTCACTGATGGAAAAGCATGGTATTGGAACGGATGCCTCAATTCCTGTTCACATCAATAATATTTGTCAACGTAACTATGTCACTGTAAGTATCGGAAAGTGTAGCATTACTGCTGACAAAGCGCAGCGATATGAGAAAAGAGGAATGGAATAGTCGACTATGTATATTTGATATTCTGTAAAGAAGCTAAATTTTACAGTCTCATTTAAGCTAACCAGTATTTGCATTGGGTGACGTCTGTGTTTCATCCCTGAACTGTAAGCTTCATGGGTCTTTTACTTTCAGGGATGTAATATCGTAGTTCATAACTGTTGCCTGCGAAGTGCTTTTTAGAATATTGAAAAGCTAAGGTTTTTCAGTTGAAATGAATTTTAGGTTGAATCAAGGAGGCGTTTGGTACCAACCAAATTGGGCATAGCACTTGTGCATGGTTACTGGAAAATAGATCCGGAACTGGTATTGCCTACAATGCGAGGCGAAGTCGAAAGTCAGCTAAATCTTATCGCAAAAGGATATGCCGACTTCTCCGCTGTAAGTACCATGAATTTTAATACTGTTGGATTTACTGGCTGGGCGTTCCTTTGACTGGCCGGGTGCTCCGGTGTGTCGAGTCGGGTCGTCGGCTCCTTGGCGATAACTTGGGGTAGCAGCAGGGTACACGTCCCTCGTAAGTCGTCCACACTACCACAGCACTACATTGAATCGATACTCCACTGGACCGATAGTATTTTACAATACAGACACGGCGGCCTTATATAGGCCGCTTTCGCGCCATTACACAACCTACCCAGGAAGAAGTCATGATGCAACAATACAAAAGATTAATTTTCTTAATCACCGCAACGAATGTCTGAGAAAAAACGTGCCGCTTGTGATAATGTCATTAGACACTACAATGTGCTGCAATTAGATGCTTCACATACACATATCCATAAATTCATTTGTTAAGTGCGAAATGTGGAACACCAGAGCCGGTTGTGTAGCGGTTAACATGTTGCGTTTCTAAGAACCTAGGAAATAATGAGGGCGAAAAGTTCAGCCTCAGTCGATCCATGTATTTACAGAAGGAAATCTATTCGCTACATTTAGTAAATTGCAGTAAAGGTGACAAAAGTGTGGACTGCGGTAAATTTCCCTTTTTTTACGGATTTTTGCTAAAACCCTTTCCCCAGCTTCTCCCCTCTTGACTCAAAAGATATTGGTGCTGAAGATCAGCCGACCAGGGAAGGCTGATCTTGGTGTCCTGAGAGTCCATTTGATTTGTTGTTATTATTTTTGTTTGCAGGTCAAGAAT